CAGTCAAATCCATGAGACCAACATAATGTTCCCCTTCTGAATCCGTGGAGTGTTTTTCATGTCAAGCGGGGAGATGGGTATCACACAGTGCACCGATTCACCTCCATCCGATGAGGGCAGATAGTTATGGTTCAATTCTAAGAGGCCCAGCAAGCGTCTATTCAAAGCCGAAGCCAGGGAGAACTGGCTGGGGTGCAATGGAGAGGAATTCAATAATTCACCTCCAGTATGTAAGGGCCAATGCACTCCAGCAAATACACACTTTAAACACATACAGTTCACAGTGAGGAAAAGGAGAAAAAAAGGGGATGGATAAGTCATGGGGAAAGACAGCAATGCTGCGCTTGGCTGGCACTGCAGCTACTCCGGCACTCTTTGGCAGTGTGAAGTGAATTTGAGAGTCTGTGTGTGTGATTGATGATCTGTACGTAAGTGAGATTTACCATTAAGAATGTGTTTCTGCTGCACTAAAACAATATGTGTATTTAGGCATTTGTGCATCTGTGTGTGAGCTGCATGTAAGTGTTTGTCTTTTGGGGTCTTTTCTTCCCTTCTACAAGGTCTGCTGACTTGTGTAGCACTGACCAGAGAACAGAGCACAAAAGGCAAGCAGTCATGCTGTTCTGACATCCTACGCCTAACTGCCAAACAGAGCGCGCCATTAGAAGATCTGAGACAGTATGAGAGAGAAAGGGAAGACAAGTGATAAACAGAGGTAAAAAGAAAGAACATCTGGAAGAACAAGCTGCAACCTCATTTAGCTGTCCACTTTAAAAAACACTGCCACTTTCTATCAAGTTCCACGCCGAGTGCATCTCACCCATTAATTGGAGATAAACAAATATGGAAAACTGTTCTCTCCTCTCCTCTCCTCTCCTCTCCTCTCCTCTCTCTCTCTCTCTCTCTTACTGCTAACAAAGTGCTGGCTCCTCTGCGGGATGAAGTCCAGTTTCGTATGGATGGACCTGTCAAACTTAATCTAGTCAGATAAAAACAAACACCTTTGCAGAAGCGGTACATGCTGTGATTGTCTAGCAACACGCAAACTCTCGGTCAAGTTGTTCTCAACTTCAACATAATTTAATTTACTGCCATTCAATACATAATCTATTATTTCCAACAAGTTATTGATATAATGTAACAATATTTTCTAATGGAGTTTAAGTTTACAAAGGCACCGGATGGCAGAAATAAAGAAAAACATCAACATGAGTAAACAAATCAATGTAGTAACACAGCATCAGCAGCAACTAATTAACAAGGGTTTTAACTATACATAGCTCTACCAAGGTTTTGCATCATTTTATGAACATGCTGAATTAGTGCTAGTGAGAGCTACGTACTTAACACTTTAAAGGTCAGGAAATAATTTCTTAGCGAGTTCTTTATCACAATGAAAGCTCCTGATCCAGACAATTTATCATGATATTATTTTTTATTTCATAGCAGGCATTATTAATAGATGATGACTGCTTTTTTGGCTCAAGTAGAAAGTACAGGTAACTTCAAATAAGCATAAAATGGGAGCTGTAGCTCTCACCAGTATCAAAACCAACAACAAACAGTCAAAACCAACAACAAGCAGTCAATTATCAGTTATGTATCAGGAGAGCCTTCAGACATATGGTCCAAAGTTTCCCTGTTACTGTACTACTAAATGTTTACAATACACACACATTGACCATGTCTGTTACATTCTACACAGTCTGACTGGCTAGCTGTGACCCCTTCCCCCCGTCCATGCTCAGTCGCCTCCATATTGCCTGGACACCAGGAGTGCCATTGCACAACGCTCCATTGGTTTAACATGTGACACGTGGTGGGAGCCGCCAAACTGCAGCACAATCAATTGGTTTTTAATGCTCTGACTAGGCCCCTGAGCTCTTGAAGCTAGCATGCTTGGCTAATTTGATGTGATTCACTGAGCTGGTAGCAGGCTGTGTGTGTGTAAGGGGCAGTCTGCTGTGTATGTAGCTGGTAGCGGATATGAGCGTGGGTCATAAAGGGAGACAGATTGGTAGCTATCCACTGACGATGGTGACAGCTGGGGTTAGCACCTAGCAGCCGTTTGGTGACAGAGAGCCACTGTAACACAATGGGGACGGGGCCATAGGGACAGATATGGCCACATGGTTACTGCTGGCATGACGGCATGATGAGACGTACACCACAGTAGAATGTGGCTACTGGCTAGTGGCTACTGCCAATGGCTCCATGAGGCCTCATGACATAAGGCTGGAAGATGGATGGCCGTCAGGCAACCGTATGGGCTGGTTGGGAATAACCAGTATGGACCACACATATGGCACTACATAACACATACAGTGAACACAAACATGGACCAGGCAAACATGAGCAGTTACACAAACATAGATGATGAAGCTGCGTGCTGACAGACAAACCCTAACAACACATGACTAGAGTGTCTGAGAAGATGCCAGAAGGTGAAGAAAATTGTTTGCACATGTAAAGAAACACATGCAATGATATAGTCGAGATGCACAGACACATACAGATGTGCATGTGTATGTAGAAGCACACACATAAAACACAAACAGACAGCACTGCACTGCAACAGCTACACTACAAGATATCTTATTTTTGTCATTCACTTTGTAATACTGTCTACCACCCATGACATCTTCACTCTCACAACTGGCAGACTCAGCAGCAGCAGTAAAAATAGCTAGTAGTAGTTAGCTTGTTAGTGAGCTTGCTTTAATCCTGTGTGAAACAAGTGTCACCAGGAAAGTACAGCCCTGACTGCAAAGGTAGCAAGCTACTGCAGGGAAGAGAAGGTGAGTTAAGATACTCGTAGGAAAGACAGGAGCCTGTGTGGCTGAAAGGCAAACTGAGCGGCTTGGAGGGCAGCTGCAGCTGGGTGTGGTGTGTGTGTGTGTGTGTGTGTGTGTGTGTCTCTGCCTAGCTGGTGGCCTGCTGTGACCAGATTACATGTTCACTGTCCCACAGTGGGAGTGGAAGTGAGATGGGTAGGACTGAGTGGTAAATGGCCACGGCGGGGAGCCACGCGGCTGGTTGAGCACTCCTCCAGTGAGTGAGTGCTGGACCTTCAGCTGTACAGTCCAGTGTTTCCCAATTTGTTCAGTCACAGGGACTCGCAAGCAGTTGCCTTTGTGACTCAGGCTAACAATGCTATTGACGCTTTGATGGGTTGCTTGAGGCAAACATAATTTTTCAATAAAAGTAGGAACAGAAACAGCTCATAGAAAATATTAGTTCATTTCATTTTAAAGGTGTCTATTACTATTTGCACCAAATGAAAATGTGGCTTATTGGTTAACTCTGAGAGGTTTTTCATATTATTTTAAGGATTTCAGATTAGTATTTGCTAACTGTACAGTGTGGGTATAACCAAATAACATATAAAACTGTATTACACTGCACTGCAAGATATTCCCCAACATCTTGGCTTATAAATCTTATAAGTAAGGTATTATCTATTCACCTTGCATGCATATTATTTACTTAATGGTACAGAGTCTTACAGAATAGTGAATTTTGATACTAAAACAAATTATGTGGCTGTGTGATTCATCACTTCAGCAAAAAATAACTTGCATTACCCTCAGGTTAGAAATTACTTACTGCATCAAAAAAAATACAATATTTACAATAAATGCACTTCATAGTATAGCAAACTTTTACAATGATATGCTTTACTCTAGAGTATGAAATATTCAAGTGCACTCTGTATTGGACAGCAGGGCACTGTATTGTAACAGACTTATAGTAATTGTTGTCAGTGGTACAGTCAGTGAAACTGTTTTATGATTGTAAACAATCTAACACACGTGCCTGTGACTAGTTCAGAGGTATGGAGAACAATGTACACTGAATGTGCTTCAGGGGCCACAAAAAGCCTCAAGCAAACATAAAAGCCTCTGGCAGAATGATTTAAATCCTCTAAGCAGCAAAATGAGAACACTCATGGTGCTAGGATCAATCTTAGAGCAATTTACTAAACTACTAATGCTCTTTGTTTCTACCACATTAGGGAGGCAAATCTGGGACGTATTCCAAACAATACTGTTGGTACGGTAAAACATGATTGCAAAATGTGAATATAAATGCATGGCTATTTGAGTCTCTGAAAACATTCTTAAAACATATCTATTTGTTTTCTAACTTGTAATCAAAAAGTGAAAGATCCATCATACGTCAGTAGAAGAAGTAAAACATGATTTTACCAGTGAAGAAAAATATTAAATTACTCATTAGTTTGGAGATTCTTTGCAGACTGGGTGACCTAAAAAAACATTTTAGACTCTCAGATTACTTATGTTCTGTACTCCTCAACTATGATGACTGAATACCATTGGATGCAATGTGACTATGTCTGCTGTACGTGGCAGACTATGATGTTGGTGAACTAAATGTAATTAATATTAATTTTTTCCCCTGTCTGCTGTCTGGGCTGGTAACCCAGGGCAACAGTCTGTATTGTGCTGTGGTCTGGTAAATGATACTGAATCACTTCCTGGCACATCTAACACCTATAAACTCCCAACCAAAAATGTGTTTGTATACTTAGAAAAGATGGAAACATGTGGTTATCAGAATTGGATAATCTGCTTTTATAGAGCTGCATATAGCAACTAGAGGACAAACGTGGTGTAATCATTTAGCTATCAGAAGTTTTCATGTGGCACTGTAATGGTATGTGTATGTATGCAATTTAGTTGGTTTAACATTTGACCTGCGACGGAGGAAGAATGTGGCTTAAACGTTTTTCCAGACAGAATCTATTTTTCTGATCATTTGCATTGCTCTAAACATAAAAAAGTCATTCATGTTGTAAACTATTTTCAGCACAAACGTGAAATAAACTTCTTTTAACGAGTTCCTCCTAAAACCTTTCAACAAGTCTGGCTTAACACTGAGCAGAGAGGAGAAACTGGAGGCAAACCATAGATTTTCTGGGGTGGGTCCCAGTGGGAAGTCAAAGGGCAGCTACTGCAGGTGAATGGTAGAGTACTTACTGTAGGTTGCATAACATATTGTTGATGAGGCATCCATGACGTACTCTGGACCTGTGGAGAAACACATAAAATGTAAAATGATGGTGACAATATAAATTTTCCTCAATCTTAGTCGGATCCAAGTAGTATCCCACATAAAGCAATAAGCGCTGTTCAAATATTCACAATATGTTCAAATACTCTCAAGTCTGGAGGTTTTAAAATGATCGCATTGGTTCTAATGCACCAAAATGGCTGAATTTTACACAGATTAAGTTGTGCCAAAGAATTACAAAAAGAATCTGAAAGTCTGGAGGCAGCCAATTTCCCTCCTGCCTTCTCATTATTGCCAACAGTATGACTTGTGCATAGAGCCTATAAATTAGGTTCCCTTCTCTATAATAATAATAATATTAATGCCAATGCTGTTGCAAGAGGGGTGAAACATTGTGAAAATTCGAGGGACAGACAGCTTTATTTAAAAGTACGGCAAAAAGAAAAGAAACAATAAAAGGAATCTGACACAGGACTTTTCTTTTTTATGGGCCAGAAATCAGAGTTATGCCAAGCTATTACCAGAGGAAAACATATACAGACATGCACATTTACAAACGTGGATGAGAAAGTTAGAGAGATGGTGAAACAGTGACAGATCCAATGATCGAGAGACTGGGGGAATGGAGGAACAAACAAACAAGCTTTTAGATGTGCTGGAGAGAGGAATTAGACAGCCTGTAGCAGACAAACACACAGGCTGGCCACTGATCCCGGTAAAATGATTAGATTAAACAAAGACAAACATGGAATAATCTGCTATAAGAGCAATCAATCCTCTGAGCCAACCCAAACGCGTGATTTGGATCCACACCTAAACAAGCTTGATATTCCATAACATGAAGCCAAGTCTGTTTGTTTATACATGGCAGTATTTGTTTTCCCCAGCTGAACGGGACAGCAGATACACACAGAGAAAGCTTATCTTTAATCACTTATCTTCAGAATTTTCTAACTAAGATACTGCATGACCATCATGTGATTTGTTTAATAGAGAGGAGCTGCATTCTTAGAGTTAGACTCTAGTCAGACTTAATTCAGACAGTCACAGGCCAATTAGTTATCAGTTATGGCAGAAAGCGTGATCATGACATCTTTGAACAAACAATGCTCAAATGCAGCATTCAACATTCAGAGACTCTGCTAGTGATAGCTTGCTTTGAACTTGTCTTAACTGACTTGGATCGTTCCTAAAGGACTTAAAAACAGCTCTCATACAGTGGTTTTGCTTATTCTACATTACAACAGCTGGTGAGGTGCAGTTATTCTATAGGCACAGTAGGATCAGAGTAAACGGTATAATCTTCATGACCTAAGAAGCTCCACTACCTCTGGCTGAACTTCACAGCTTGTGTTACCATTTAAAACAGACTGTCAGCCAGTAAGCCAAAAAGACAGTCAGTCAGTCGTTCAGTTGCACGGTCGGCCAGTTGGCCACCCATCCAACCAGTCACATGTAAAGCCAAACAGTCAGCCAGTTAGCTGGTTAGTAAGCCAGCCAGCCAGCCACACATCCAACCAGCCAGCCACATATTTAGTCAGCCTGTGAGCCAGTCCGTAGAGCCAGTGATGTAAACCAGGCCACGGCTGGCTGGCAGCACTAGCAGAGATCTTCGTAGTGATCTGGCCTGAACTGGCTCCTGTCATGTGGATCATCAAAGCTGTTTTTCCAGGAAACAAAGCCAATCATTGTTCAAGCTCACCGGAGCCAGGCTTAAAAGAACACCAGAACACTGCTGTTGGCATGGGTCATTTGCAGATTTGATAAATCAATGCCATCAAACTAGTAGCTCAAAAAATATCCACTTAACATAAACATAAAAGAGGGAATGGCATATACAGTCATTTCTATGCACCTTGAGAATTTCATTACAAAGCCGATAGTTTCTATTATAAAAGGAAGTGATTTCTTTTTGCCTGGCATATATATATGGCTGCCTGGCTTGTCTTCTCTTTTTCTTTTTCCACTGTCTCTTTGTACTTGAACAGAAGATGAAGGACTCACCTTCCTGCCGTGACTGGCTGAAGGGCAATATTACAGGAAGCGGTGGCAGAGCTGCCCGATATTGAAACTGTGAGGATTAATATTCCTCAAAAGCCTGGCCATTGTTTTTGATAAATCAATTTGGGAAGCCTTCCGAGAGCGGATTAGAGACGCGCCCTGGCCCACTTTTCTCCCTCCTCCTCTTTCCCCTACCCCTTCCACCGCAGGTACTGGACCAGAGTTTTAATCAAGCATGCCTCAAAGACGGGCACAGCAACCTTCAGCAACACCCCCTCCCCCCCCACCTGAGCCATCGCCGACACCCGTACTATCCTTCCTCCTCTCCCTAGTTGTCTTTCTCTCCATCTGTCCCTTCTATTTTCCAATCTATCCTTCATCTCCTTTCTCTTGCTCACTATCCTTGTCTGTCTGTCTCTGCATACCAAACAGAGTCGATGTTAAACGATAGTGTCTGAGCGAGAGGGCACAGTGGCAGTGCCTCTTGATGTTTAGATTCAGCAAAGGGTGCCGCGTGAAATGTGCAGTGACGGAAAGTGGTTAACGCTCTTGACATCTCACACAGCCAATTTTCACGTTACTGTTCTGTTCTGTTTCATTACTCCAAAGATCACAGCCATGAGGAATGTGGAAATTCACTTTGGAAAAGGAAGTGATTTTATTGAAGTTAGTTAAAAAAAAAACTTAAAAACAGCTACCCCCCCCCCCCCCCTTCATTGCATTAGCAGCTGAGGGAGCACAAAAGAGGTCAGGAAACTGGGAGGGAGGAAAGTGTTTGTTTTTCCTAGACACTTTCATTCTTGATGGGTGATTTTATTTTTTTCTACCCTGTCAGCCTTTTTTAATCCCTTTTTTGTTGCTTGTTTTCTGATGCCTGTTGTGTTTGCCGCCTACGAAACAGATGTCATCGAGCACAGCTGGAGTGGCGAAGAAACGATGAGAGAAGAAGAAAGAACTTCACGCTGTTTTGCAGCCCGCCCCCTCTCTTCCATCCCCCTACACAGAGCAAACCCTCCTATTACACATATACAGACAGCAATCTACCCATAATGCAGTGCATTATGGCCCACCTGATATGTGGAAACGGGGGAAGCAGCGATGAAGGGCGTGATGGAGGTCTGTGCAATCATGCGGTTGGTGGCGATGCTGTAAGGCGAGGAGTAGAACCTGAGAATGGACAGAGATGGAAGAAGAATCGGGGAGAAAGAGGGAAGGGACGGTGGAGAAAGGAGAAGGAGGTAAAGAGTAGTCAAAGGTAGAGAGAACAGAAAGAGGAGAAAACAGCAGTATTAGTTTGTCAAATTAGGTATGTACAGTAGAACATGAAATTCTGTTGCCCTAATACAAAAATTGTGTGTAAGCCGACAGATCTCTGTCTATACAAAGGTTTCTCTGTCTATATAAGAGAGAAAAACACACTTGCAAACTATAACACACACATACAGACACACACAGACACACATTGGTTTTACCACGTAGCTTGTTCAGAGCAAACACTTGGCTATATATTGTATTTCGAACACCACATAAAAGTTTCATGAAGTGTCTTATAGTGTTCTCAATTGAAAAGTCGGATTTTATCACATCAAACTGAGCCTTGTCATCGTATAAAGTAGGAGGTTTTCTGTATTTTTTTTCCTTTGTGGATTCTAGTATTAAGGCTACACTGTACCTTACTGGCTGGCTGGCTTAAGTAGCAGGCCTGTAGGCTGAGCTTGGAGAAAACTCAATGCATTTCAAGAAGGTAAGGTTTGACATGAGCTGCAAAGAAGCAAGGTGGTCGACTTCGCTACTTTATCTCATTGCTGAAGGTTTATAGCAACCGAATGCCGCTGTGATCCCCTGGGAGGCTAAGTGGAATGTCCAATAGTCTGTGTCACCAGAGCTGAAGATCATATTACTGGCCGAGGATATTAGACATGTTATGTACTAGGTTTGACGATGATGTTTCAAGCTAAAGCATCAGCTCTATATGTTGTGTATTTCATTATATTTGAATAAATGTTCAACGTAATGTTCTGTTTGGAGTCCTTAAGTCCCACTTTAACAGCTCGAAAAACATACCTAACAATGTCATATCAGCTTGACAGTCATTACAAGTTTCAGAGCTTTGGTACAGAACATACATTAACCTCTGTTTGTGGACCTCAAACATAAGTAATGTCAACATTATCTACCTTGGTTGGTTTTCCAAATCTTGTAACCTTCATCAAATGTTTGGTTTGTGGCAAAGGGAAGTATAACCACCTCAATAAATTACTAAATGTTGGGTTTTAGGTTATAATTAAAATAAATAAATAATGCTTTAACTTCTAACTTATTTGTACAAGGTTTTGGGACTGCCACAGTGCTACCCTGGCTCCTCTCCCAACATAAGTTCACTGTATATAGTGTGTGTTTGCGTACATGCAGTTGTGCAGCATGTAATATCTTCAGTGTTGGTCAAGTGGCATATAGAGGAGGCAGAAACGAGAAAGGTAGTCAATTAGAGAAATAAGTGTTATTTTTTGATTATTTTATAGTGGTAACACACCCACGATCCCGAACAATCCTGCACTAATCTCAACAATGCCTAATTTGGTGTGAATACGGCCGAAGGCTCTCTTTCTGTCATCTTAACTTGAACTGAAATAAACATGCCACAGCCTGGCTTTGAGTGAATTTGGGTGGGGAGAAGTGAAGGCACACCACTGTAAAGGAAAGGGGTGCAAAATGGAGTAAGGCACAATGATCATTTTATCTTGTTTATCTTGTTTTCATACTCGTTGGAAGCCAAAATTGTAATTGAAAATAAAATTCAATCTACCGCCCATCCTTAGGAATGTCACCTCTCTGGCTGGGAAGGAGCCAGAGCTAGTGCAGGATACTAAGGACATCTAGCTGAGGTCCCTGTCCATGAGGTCTTTAACTCCCACTTCCTAAAAAATTTCTCATGCATAAAAGGGGAGGTTGGGGACATGGAGTCCGAGTGGGCCATGTTCAAAGCCTCTATTGTGGAGGTGGCTGCTTGGAGGTGTGGTCAGAGGATCGTTGGTACTTATCATGGTAGCAACCCAGGAACATGCTGGTGGACACCAGCGGTGAAGAAATCCCTCAAGCTGAGTCCTTTTGGGCTTGGTTAGCCAAAGGCTCAGAAGGGCTGTGGCTTTGGTGGTCACCAAAGTAAAAACACTGTTAAACGGACTTTTGGTTGGTCTCAAGGAAGTTCCAAAGCATCAGCCAACTCAGGAAGGGTAAGCAGGACTTGGCTCAGGTTGTGTTCAGCAGGAGAGGATTAAGGAAGGTTCTCAGCAGCAAGGCGCCAAGTGTGGATGAGACATTGTTGAGGATGGCAAAAAGGGGATGTGGTCTCATTTTTAAAAAGGGGGACTGGAAGATGTACTGAAAGCTTTTCCCTTGGCGCTGGAAAGGAGGCTCCGCCCAATTGTCGATCCCCAGATTCAGGAGAAGCAATACAGATTCCATGCTAGTCGTGGAAAAGTGGACCAGCTCTTTACCTCTAAATGAGGTTTACAACCGTACTGTGGGTGTATGGGGTACCAGGACCAGGCTAAAAGCTGCATCCTTTCACAAAATGGAGCATGAAACCGACAGGAGGATTGGTGTGGCGTCAGTAGTAATGCAGGCATTGTACCAGTTTTGTTGAAGAGGTAGCAGAGCCGAAAGACAAATCTAGTGGGTCTACGTTACAACCTGCACCTATGGTCATGAGCTTTGGGGAGTGACTGAAAGTGGCCGAAATGAGTTTCCTTAATGGGCTGGCTCGGCTCTGCCTCAGAGACAGGGTGAGGAGCTTAGACACCTGGAGAGAGCTTGAAGAGGAGCTGCTGCCCCTTTGTGTCAAAAAAAGCCAGTTGAGGTGTTTCAGCATCTGATCGGGATGTTTCCTGGGCACTTTCCTTCAGACATCTTCCAGGCATGTACAACTTTAGGAGACTCCAGGAAAGACACAGAGCATGCTGAAAAGATTATTCCCTCAGACTTGGGAATGCCTCAGGATCCTTCAGAAGAAGAAAAACATTACTGGGGAGAGGGATGTCTAGAATACCTTACTTAGCCTGTTGCCACCATGACTCAGCCTGAGATAAGGGACAGAAATTGGATTGATGGATAGATGGATATTCCAATTTGCACTTGAATTTTGATGTACCAGTAAGCCCAGTCTGACAAATGTTTCTGTTTGACATGTTCAGTTTCAGTTCAACTGCATTTTCATTTTCTACTTAGCATTTACATATGAATTAAATTTACTAAATACTTCTCCATTCTCTGCTAACTGGTTCACTCTATTTTGTATTTTCTACTTTGCATTAACACTTTTTGACTACTTTTACATTCTTTGCTACTTAAGTCAACCTATTTCCCATTGCTGGAATATGTTCATTAGGCAGAACTTCTGGTCGAATGTATTCAAAGTCAATCATTCCTTTCTCAGCCGGTCTGTTGCTTAACACAAATATCTGTGGGATTATAATTTGGCGGATTTGCAGCAAAGCAGGCTTTTACATCGCAGGCTGTGTGTAATGAGTGATGCTATTCATCCAGTTTTTTGGTTGAGGTTGACTGCGAGTCACTGGGGGATAAGTGGTTTAGGAAGCAGGGAATGAGGAGCTTCCTGTGAATGACTGAGGCCAGAGGGAGATAGAGGGTTGCCTCAGCACTCTCCTTCCTGTCTCAATACTGTGGGGAAAAATAAAACACGTTGCCGGGTCATTAATTTCCACAGAACCATTAAGTCATGACATAAAGACACAGGAACACACAGGAACACACATATACACTAAGACCCAAACACACATAAATACACACAAGCTCACTCAGCTACCCTTCGCCATTTGTCACCCGAACCAAGACCTTACCAATGAAAACCGATATTTGAAGTCCATATAGATTTCCTTAATCAAACGGTAACAAAGTGCAGACACTACATTAATCTTTATGTATGGCAGTGTTATTGACTGGGATCCTATGAGCCAAGAGGTGAGTGTATTAGATGGTGCCAAGGATGGATTGACCGTCAAGCTCTTACCCATTCTGCATTGCAGCGGGATCATATGTTAACGCCATGCCAGTCTGAAAGAGAAAAAAACAATAAACATGCAGGATTAATAACAAATTAAGAGAGTCGGATTAAAAAAATATTAAAAGACATTAAACAGCAACAAAGGAAAATGTGACAACTGAAAAGACATTACAGGTCACGAAACAACAACATCTTTCTTTTTATGTAATATCCGTCTGTATTCATCTTTGTGTTTGCATGCTATTAAATAAATAGTTCAACATTTTGGGACCTTGGGTGCTTATTTACTTTTTTGCCTACAGTTAAATGAGAATATTGTAGGTTTTTACGTTTCATTTTTTCGTACAGATTAAACAAACAAGATATAGTGTGTTAATTAGTGAGCTGTAGAGGTGCTGGTAGGCAGCTTTTTTGTACCTTTAGACAGGACCAAGCTAGCTGTTTCTCCTGTTTTCAGTCTTAATGATAAGCTAGCCCAATCACCTTACTGTCCCTCCATATTTAGCGTACATACATGAGAGTAGTACAAATCTGGTCATCTAAGTCTCTGCAATAGAGCAGTCTTAGTGGCAGGTTTGTAGGGCCAAAAACTGATTATGAACCACAAATCCTGCACACTGACATACAGTCACAATATTTCATAGGTAGAGATTTATCAGATAAGATTAATATCTTCAAAATCTAATATATATATATATATATATATATATATATATATATATATATATTGGACATTGGCATTGGACCACATTCTGTCGCTGTCTTCTGTGTGTTACTTTGTGCCAGTGTGTTCTGTTTGTCTCTGGGAAATCTGTCAATATGTTCCTGCACCAATGTCACCAAGATAATTCCCTGTACCTGTCTTGTACTTGGGGGAATAATGTAATTTATACCTTGATTCTTTTTGTTCAAAATAAATGAAATCAAATCAAAATCAACTCATTTCAAATTGGAAAAACTGACAAGTGACAAAGCCAATGTGGGAAAAAGCTTAGTCAATAGGACAAAGTGAATTGATATTGAGGATGCCACTTTTTCTATTTCAATCACGTACCATCATGTTTTTATGAATGAGAGGAAATGAAGAAATGCCCTTTGGAGAGAAAAGGAGTAAGCAGAAAACTGAGTTCTTTGTCTGCTGATGGTGTGTACGTGTGTGCGTGAGGGGGGCCTTTTAGAGACCTGGAGAGAAACCTGTGCGCCACAATCCGTCATCTGCATTCCTGAAGGTTCTCTCCCGGAGGAGAGCTAATCCGATTTCTTTTAACAGGAGGCTGCTGAGGACGGCAGATTTCATCAGCATACACACATACACACACTCCCTTTTCTTGCCCTTTCTCTCTCACTTCGCTGTCCCTCCTTTCTTTTCCCATCATCTTGTGTTCGCTTCCTTTCTCTCCTTACCTTTCTCTCTTCATCCCTCACCCCGTCATCTCTTAATCTACCCTCCTCCTGTCTTTCTGTACCACTTTTTTGCCCTTGTCCCTCCAGAGGGCTACCTACACTGAGCTATAGTGTTAAGGGAATAGTGGCTCAGAGGAGCAGGGGGGATCAGTGAGCCTAGACCAAGCCCATGAGAGTGAGCAAAAACAGAGAATCTCCACTGAATTAATAAGCCTTCGCTGCCACTAGGGATGTGTGGACATGTGTGTGAGTGTTGGTAGACCTTTACGTTCAATTTGTATCAGTGTATTTGCAAAACAAGGTAAAAAAAAAAAAGGCTTTTAGAGACATTTTATGTAAAGCTGTAAAGGTCAGATGAAAGGACTTGCATCAGTGTTAATTCAACATCTACTTTATTTGTGTAGTTTCACCTTCATTGTTTATGAATGTTTCTTTCTGTGATATGTGCAAAGGTTTCTGTGTTTGTATTTATATACTCCCTTTACTCTCTTTACCCTAAATGTGAGATCAGGAGACTCGCTACATGCCTTTCTGCGTGTTTGTGTGCTAGTGTGTGTTCACGTGCGCACTAATAGCAGTGGCAGACATGGCCAGCTGTCTGGTGAGGGCTGATAACTCCCCTAAGTGCTGTCCTTGGTTCCATGTGCTGATGCATTCCACAGCAGAGAAGCTCCTGACCGGGAACCCTGCATGGTCAATGACTGATTACCGATGCAAGAGAAAGGAAAAGATAGACAGTTTGCGTGTTTGTTTTTGTTTGAGCTTGATTAAAGACTGAAAAATACCTCGACCTGACAACAGCTGCCACAGACGTGGCATTTCTAAGTGGGAGAAGCTACGTATGTTCATTTTGCATGCTAAATTAGGTCGAAATTTAATTACACAGCCTTAAGAGAACATTTCTTTCCAAATATTATGCATTTAAAGTTCTTGCATAATCATACCCAAACAATGTTAACATTTATCTCCTACTGTAGGTATGGTGAAATGACAAAATGTGGTTTAATGACAATTGGATCCAAACTTACAAACAAGCAGTGGAGAATGACTTAGGTTCTGCTTCTTGTAGTCAATCAAGTTTAACAAGTTGTAAATAACTATCTAGTTTTTTATTCATGCTCTTGGGTATACAAAATGGATTTTGTTGAACTAATGTATTTTCCATGCAAATGTAAATGCATTTTACCATACCAATAAAGGAGATAAAAAAAAATGTGTGTACATGTAAGCATCCGTGTGTTAAACCACAGATCCTAAAAAGGGTCGGGTGAGGATATTTTATATTAGACAGCGGTGAGGACACCTGTGGTGCACTGTTCTTATACAGGAAAACTGAGCCGAGCCATCGTCTCTGTGCCCTCTCTCTCTCTCTGTCTCACACACACACACACACACACACACACACACACACACACACACACACACACACTGACCCACTCCCTCATAGTATTTTTGCCTTCCATGCACAGATTCGCTCTCTATTTATTCTCCCTGCCTTGTAGCCACACACACACACACACACACACACACACACACACACACACACACACACACACACACACACACACACACACGGACATCTGTCAGGCTTTCACAAAGAGTGGATAGCCGGATGTTTTTTCATCTACACTCATTCCCCTAGAGTAGGTGCTTGAGAAGTGTGACTTTGAAAGTTTTTGTGTGGAGGAGTGTGTGTTGGTGAAAGAGAGTGAGGAAGTGAAAAGAGAGAGAGTGAGAGAAAAGAATGAGCACCCATGGCGCTTGTATCTGTGTGTGCGGCAGAAAAAAATGCAGTGACTAATATGTTTGTCAGCATGAGACAGCGAGAGACAGCACTTTCTAGACTCCCACTTTGGGTAGTTTACAAGAAAATCTGTCATATATTTCTCAATCCTCACCACCAGCCACCCTGCAGCACTCAACCCCTTGTAACTCCTGACTGATCATGCAATGTGTTCCCTCTCTCCTTCTTTCTCTTAGTCGCAGTGAGTCACTCACTCACTCTCTCTCTCTCTCTCTCTCCATATGTTGCTGTGGGATCTGGGAAGACTTCAAACACGGAGAAGAAGAGACGGAGAGACAAAGTGGCAGAGAAAGAGACGGCAAGAAGGAGACAGTGCTTAAAGACAGAAAATAAAACAGATTGAGGGAGGAAGAGAGTGAGCGATATGAGATATACTGTAGAAACAGAGAGAGGAAGAAGGGCTGTTGCTCACCCTCATCTGCCTACCACAGGGAGCAAGGTGAGGAATGGACGCAGCTCTGATAAAACAGACTAACATGTGATGCTTATCTCCCATTTCCCCCTGCCTTGCCAGTACAGCAGATCAGTGACCATAAGGAGACACATGCACAGCATACTATGTTGTATGCTGTGTAAGAGTCTTTATATCAACACTATATGTGTAGATACATATACAATGCACTGCAATCTGAATCCTGTTGGACCAGCCAGACCATATCTGGAGGTGGCCATAATTGCATTGTGATTGGATCTCAGCCAGGTGTAAAAGTAATAAAAAATAATATAATAAAATAAAAATTATAAAAAATTGTTGAAAGGTCACGTAACTCTGCATCTTCTTGCTCTCTCAAGCAAGCCATGCAAAAAGACAGATGACCCCTACCTCCGCAAAGGACAATAAGTAGTCCACCAGCTCTGCCTACCAAATTTGCATATTCAGATCCGAGAGTCGAGAAAATGAGAATGCTTATTAATACCAGCTGTGAATACAAAGGTGTACTGTATGATCAGATGTCAATATCCAGATAAGCTATCAGTCTTCATGTCAGGTGTAAATTAGGTCTACAATATGTATTAGTCCTTTAACCCAAACATTAACCTTCTCCAGTACATGCTGGGCATTAAATCTCACCCTAAACTTAATCTTATCCTGCAACTGTTTGTTTCTTTTCTTCAGCTGGTGCTCACAATTATAGATAAGATAAACACACGTGAGATTCTAATATAGGATTATATAAGAGTCCTTTCCCTCCCATTTTTCTTCTTTCTTTCTTCTCTCTTATCATCATCTATATGTGTGCAATATATTTATTTTTTACATGTTCAGAGAAAGAGAGAAGTCTCTACATATGTAGGTCAAATACAGATATATAAGATATACGATATAAGATAAAGCCAATCAGTACGAATCCCCAAACGCATTATGACATTAAATAGAGCACACTGTGGTCCTGTGGAAGCCCCTTTGCGCATGCATCAATGTTGTGATTGTCTCCCAGAAGCTCTCATAAATTGACCAATTAATTTCATTTTTGAGCCACATTCTTATGATAAACTTCTTAGATCATGGATTGATCTTGGAAAATGAAGGATTTTAATCATAGGATGTTTGGATCTTAAGTTATCAGAGAAACCACCTGAGCCTATGTAAGCAGAAGCTTGGCTGGAAGGCCCTCTGGGACATCCTTAGCGTGCCGAACAATGTTTCAGAAATACAGATTTTTTAAGGTGAAACTTAACGAAACTTAACAAATTCAGTGTTTTTACTTGTTGTAATCACCAGGTCTGTTTGTTTTTAAAATGGAGGAGACCTCTGTGGATAATTTGGCTCCTGGTAGAAACCTCCTGAACAACAAACACGGAAGGAATTTTAACCATGAGAAGCTGACTGCAATGACGGCAATGGTGGTAAAGACAACAACTCCAATGATCCCACCCTACCTCATAATGTCATCAAACTTCATCTTTTGCTATTGTTTTGAGCAGCAGTTATTTCACATTATATATATAGCATTACGTATTGTACATTTAAGTACAGGTGGGAAACGCATTTCAGATCAAAACAATACGATGAATCAATACAGAAAGGCTTTCTCTCAGTAAGGGATTTCTCTCTTACTGACACAACAGGGAGAACTTAAATTTGAAATGAAAACACAAAAAGAGGCGCACAGAGCCTTTGAGTTTGAAAGCTGACATCATATTGATAATTAGTGGGTATACAGTATGTGTGTGTCTGTGTGTGACCAACCCCATCTGCTAAAACTTACATTCATATACAATTAATGAACATAAGAGAAAGCTAAATGTTCATACTGAACATACCTGCAATATTTTAAGTGTTGTCTCTTTAGTATTCTTGCAACTAAAGTGCAATTGAAAAAATTATGGTTATATTTAGGTAACTCAAAGCAATTGGTTAAAGTTAGGAAGAGTTTGATGTCTTGATTAAATACCAGAAAAGTCAATGACTACTTATAACTCTGCTTTTAAATTCTAAACCAAAACCACAACCTTTCGCGACTACGATACTTTTTTAAGTATTGTAGTTGCTGTAACCCAACAATGTTTAAGACAAAGGCCAAGTCATAAAGTCCAGTGTTTTGTACGCCAACAACCCAACATGACATCTTCAATATCACTTACAAGCAGTATCTAGACATCATACTTCCCAGATGGAGAAATATTGCCAGAGGATGTTATCTAGGGAGCAATTATGTTTCTTCAAGAATGTATTTGTAAAGGCAAATAAGCAGTAAAGATATATTACAGGAGGTAGGATTGGTGTGACACAGTATAAACAGCTGTTTTGAGCTCAGGTCAGAGATGGTGTGTGCTTAATGTAGAGGAGGTAAGGGATGGGGAATAAACACAGCAAAAGGACAAAAAGGGTGTTTCCTCCATTTTGGCAGTGTAGGGTTCTTATTACACCCTTCAAGATGAAGTACACACACACATACACAGTGATCTCACTTTAACTCAAGTCAACTGAGCTGACCCTGTCAATGTGTGGATCTGTGAGGGGATGTAGCAATGTGATTTAGGTTAAAAACGCTTCACTGACTTGTAGGTGGTAGGGCTGCTGAACATGTGATGGACAGACAGAAACACACAAACACGCACGGCGAGTGTAGTACTTCACCAACCCTTTCCCAACACACACACGCACGCACACACACACACACACATACATACACATACAGAGCACCTCCACCACCCACACAGACACACGGAGTGCATGTGTTTCCTGAAGGACAAACATTTCATCTCTCCTGGTCTCCTCTACCTTGCCGTTTCAGCACAACTGTCAGCCTCTCTGAACATGTGTGTGTATTCACTATATTCTATATTGTCCAGTCTGAAGCACTCCTCTCCCTGTCTCCTCTGTGTGTCCTTCCCAGTATAGCCTATGAAGAGACTTTAACCTTGTCACCACATGTTGCTGATGAATATGTTACCATAGCACTGTATCCAATTTCTGGTTTCCCAGCATTCTGATGTATGGCGGGAACATTCGTGTTCAGTGAGGCGTTTGGCTTGAGATGCAATTTACGTGACAGCGCCTATATATCCGGGGACAGTTTGATCGATATCTGGGTTTTGTTTTTTTTAACTGCTCCATACCTTTGACTAAACAAAAATGACAGGCAGCGGTGGTTTACATAAAGCCAGATGTTGTAGCCAACTTATCAAGGGGCCTGGTGAGCAGGATGGGGCCTGCTATTAGAAATACCATTACCTCAGAGGTAAACGCCTCATTTAGAACTTCATCATCTTGGAATGAACAGAGTTTAACTGAGTTGACAGACATTTTTTGGTCATATCTGGGTCTCCAGTACTTGAAGAATAACTGCTGTACTCAAAGAATTTATGTAAAAATGTGAAGACACATATTGCATATTGCTGTGATTATTCAATTAATTTGTAATTATCAGCATTAAGGAACTAAGACAGATAGCAATCACAGAAGCATCCAATCCTCATGCTGGATTGTAACACCTGTCTCTTTTCACTGACCCCTGATTGATGACTTTGACCTCTTTGAAGTCATTGCACCGTTGGAGAAATGTCAAGCTGGCCAACGCTAGACACCATCCCGAACAGAGGTGGGAGTTAACATGTAGCTGAAAGCGAATGGACTTTGTGATAAGAATTTTTAGTTAAATTGATAAATATTAACATTACTGATCAGTTTCTATAGCTGATAATTTACTCATATTCTTGTAAATCTTGCAAAATTGTTTGGTCAGGTGATTCCATTTTTCTGTATATGGCAAACAAAAGAAACTGGATGCAGAATGCACTGTTGTAGAAAACACTCTGTCTCATGCAGAAAAAAAAAAACTTTCTCAGGATTTAGTTGGCGCACTGATTTGCGACCAGCACCCAACCAGCACCCCATGAATGATTGTTTTTATGCTGTGCGGTAGTAAATCAACTCTTTATACTTCTGGGACACGTTGAGTGAGGACTTCTGTATTGGCGTAACATCTTACCTCGCCTTCTCTGTGCCACGGCCTCCCGTTCTGAGGGTACTTGCTCTGGCTCTGGCGTTTCTTCTGCCCTCCGTCGGCAAATTTGCACAGCAAAGGCTCCGTGGGAGCTGCAGAGAAAGTGAGAGAGGACAAAATCATGTTAGGAGGACGGCATCCTGTGACCCCTCAGAAGGACAGAAGCCCTTTTGAACTGTGTTGCATTTTTCTTCTTCTACCATCGCATCTCTGTTTCTCCCTCCTACCTCCTCTCTGCCCTCCTATGGAGCTCCTAGACAAATTCCCAGACCGAAAATGTTGGCAGGCCCTCCCTACCCCGGCTGGCAGCCCATGAAAGAGCATTGCAGGGTATTGTTGAAATAATAATCACAGTAATCGCTCTTGTAAATACCTCTGAGATGGTAATGCAGGACTGCTCTGTAAGCCAAAGCTTATTTCTAGAAGGCGTTCCTGTTCCCGACGTGTTATCCCTCTGTGTTTTACTTTAACAGCCATCTTCTCTTTTTATTTGAAATTTTATGTCTTTTTCCACTCCGCAACCATCAGTGCAAGCGTCTCACTGAGCTGTGCTGCTTGAGCAAAGGCTGTCAAGAATGTTAAAGCAGCTGTTCTCGAAGTGAACACTGGGGGCACTCTAACCACTTCTATCATCAACCAGTAGGAAAGCATGACATGAAATAGCTGTTATTAATCCAATTAAAAAAGAAAAAGCCCTCTGTACTGCGACCTCATCTGTATCAACAGCCTTTTGTATGCATAATTGCAGATAAAAGGTTGAAGTGTTGAGATGACCTACGTCGCCATAAAGATAACTTCTCAAAGGGCACTTTCTCACACTTGAGCTGCAGGTGAGCACCAAAAGAGACAAGAACTGATTCAGGTAGAGGACTCCCTGTTACAGCAGAGAGAGAGAGAGAGAGAGAGAGAGAGAGAGAGAGAGAGAGAAAATCTCAGACAGACGGACAGGTTCAATGAAAGAAGAGCGTGAAAGAAAAAAAAGGAGAAAAAGTTCATAGTAAGCTTTTCTCGTGAGAAACGGGTGGCTCTCTTGGCTGGGGATCTGGGGGTCTTAACAGTGTCCATCCCCTTTTCAGTCTGCGTCAGCAAGATTGGAATCTCTTTGGAAGCAAACTGGGGAGATGAGAGAGGGGAATGGAGACAGTTGGATAAACTGAAAGAAACACAGGAGTACAGAGGGAGTAAGAGAAACAAGACACAAAAAAAAGGAAGAGAGGGACACGGATAAGAGAAACAGTTCCGTGACCAAGGGAGAAACAAGGGGAAAACAGAGGTAGAGTGAGAATTTACACCAGGATCAAACACCCGTTCCCTGGGAAGGTTGTGCAGTTCAGCAACAGTACAGTACAGTACAGTACATACAGCGCCAGCGAGCTTGTCCAAACACTGTACCACTGCTGCCCTGCACCTGGTGGCTCAGAAGGGACCTGACGGCTCTCCTGTCATCGCATTCGCATTACAGGCCTGGCAGCTCGTGACACAGCCGCTCTGTGACGACACAGGCCAATGACGGGGCTGTCTGCAGGAGGTGAGCAATGGGACCTTTCATCATATCGTGCCAGAGATGACACCCACCGACAGAATTGTTGATGCTTTAATCTCTGCTCCCAGATGTTAGAGGTGTTTGGGCCTTGGTAATAATGCAGCATCACAAGACAGGAGAAAAAGAATTGCTGTCAGGATTGACAAGGCAGTGACAGCAATAAAACAACCTGAAGTGTAGAGAACTTATGACGAGGGAGTTTTCCAGCTGAATGAAATTATTTGGCCATTAATGAGCTAACATGTTGATTCGTCTATTCATTTCCATTTTTTGACATGTCGCTACTGTAAATGCCGCCATGTTGTAAGAGAATCATTTTGTAGTTGTAGGTGTTTGATGATGTAAATGAGCAGAAGGCTGTGGCACAAACAAAATTGTTTGCATCGGCTACTATAGGTTCAAACACATGCATATTCTAGAGAAAGTGTGTGTGAGTGTGTTTATGTGGCTTTAGGGCCAACTATGGAACCAAACTTTTCAGAGTCAGCCCAGGAGTATGTTGCTGGGAAGGGAGAGTGGGAGAAACGCTGCAGAAGAAAAACAACAAAAGCTCTTCCAAACCTCTCCTCTGGCACTCTGGGAGATAATTAGCTATCGGAGAGATTTGGAGAATCTGACACAGAGCACGCTGACGTTACCCCTGTGACTACATCCCCAGTTCCCACAGCGAACTAGCCAATTTGTTTAAGACTCCAGCCCAAGATCAACAGCCTCACACCACCCCACCCACCCTGTGATCACACTCACCCCTCTGTAGCCTGGACACACACACCCTCCTCCTGCCCTTAAAGTCTGTCTGCTGTAACCCTTGAAAACACTCAGACACATACACACAAAAGAAACTGCTGCCAGCCTAAAAACCTTTCTTAGACCTCTCACCACACACCGTCATCACTGGCACAGCTCAGAATAAACTAGGCCACTGGCTGTACATACTAGCTTGCTGATGCTGCGTCTTTAGGTTACAAGCTCCAAGTACAACACATTTCACACTGGCTCTAGCTCAAGGGTATGTGCTGTAGGGGGGCATTAAAAAAAAAAACTTCAGTTATGAACCAATTTGCTGCCCTTTAATGATCCTAAATTATGGGAAAAAGACATAAAGTGTTTTTGGTTAGAGGTCAACAACTGCCGCTAACAAGGTGCTCCATGGGAACTCCTAATAGTTTTTTATGTGGGTTGCCGTAGGAACTGGTAAACACGATAATGAGGGGTAACTGCAGACATACGCACATACATGTGTGCTTTGGAGTGTGCACACCAATACCAACCACACTTATAACACAAAAGCAAGAGGAGCAGTGTTAGACAGTAAGATGTCTGTGCTGCTAGCCTCCTTTGATCACAGCCTTGGCTCAATCATACTCCAGACTGTGCATTTGGCTCTGAAGAGATAGTCATGGCTTTCTGCTCATCAATAGATGCATTACCACCCAGTAAAATGAACCAATAAGTACATGCAGATGTACTTCTGTACAAGACAGTGCAATTACAATAGCCATTTAAATTGAAGCTTGTTGCAAGTTTCACATATTAGCACTGCGTGCATAAGTAATTATTGCTGTTACTGATGTTTCCTATGGGCCGGCATCTGCGGGAAATCAGGCTTTTGTCTGTAGAATAACAGCCAGTGCAGCGAGAACACCAGATCTAACTATTCCCTTTCTTTCTGGTATTTGTAGACAAAGAGGGCTTGCATGCTCCGGATGGTCTCGCAAGGCCAGCTGAATAACATCTTGATCCATGAATGCAAATCAGCACATGTATTATTATACATCAGTGTCAGCACGTCATACATTCATTTCGCTACTCGGAATTTGACTGTACATCTGTTTGGCCTGAATGGAGAAATCAATGCAGGAATGCCCACAAGCTGCAGAAGGGCTGAGTAAAAGGTTTTGCTCAGTGAAACAACCAGTTTTTCACCATGAAGACAGTTACAAAAGAGGCCTCTCACAAGGGTTTGGAGTCAAACTGGGCTGGCCTTGCTTTGCTCTCGGAGTGTGCAAAGCCCTTAAGAGGACGAACAGAGGGAACTGTTCAGCCACTTGAACCAAAATATGTCACTCTGAAAAGCTGCAGTGAAAGGAAGCTTTCCACTTCTCAATAACAACTTTGGTTAAAGGTTCCTACAGGTTCTTGGCTTAAGGTTCCATGAGCTAAGTATCTCTGAAAAGTCATTTGGGTGGCTAACTGGGTTTTACTGCATGTTTGCAGAGCATAGGGAAAAGGAAGAAAGAGGACAGTATTTTATTGCAATTCTGCTGTACTTTGACGCTGCTCGAGGGGATCTCTAATTGGATCAACAACTGTCTGATTCCCATCAGCCAGCTTGACCTGTCTGCCCAGACTGAGGAAGCTGTGTCTTATGGGAAAGAGAGAAAAGGAGTGGGAGGGAGAGAGAGAGAGAGAGAGAGAGAGAGAGAGAGAGAGAGAGAGTGAGAGACATGGAAAGACACAGGCAGATAGATGAAGAGAAGAGGAGCGCAAGGGTCAGTGTTCTAGAAATAGATAAAGATGAAGAAAAGCAGGGAGTAGTTATGACAGAAAAACAAATGGTAAGTGGACAGGACAAACGAGAAGGCACATGGACCAAAACTAGATCGGAGTAGCATATACGTCGCCATTTTCCGACTAAAACGGACAAGCTCAGAATGGCCGCCAACCAGGAAGGCAGGAGGCAGCAGCTTCCCTACAGGCAGGGCTTTGACGGATCCCAGTCGATAGCTCTCACAACTGCCACGCTGGCATCGCATCCTTCAGCGTGGAAATGAAGACAGTCTGCCAGCCGTTTCGCTGACAGGGACGGCACACATGGCTCAATGACACGGCCTGATAAATGGAACGGCCGCTGAGAGGGGAGCTCGACAGAGAGCGAGACAAAGAGGGAAGGGAAAGGGAGATAGATGGAAAGACGGATATGGTGTCATACAGAGACAAAAAGACATGGGTAGACAGCGACAGAAAGGGACGGAGGAGAGAGAGACTCAGCGATGGTAGAAGTGACAGGTGCAGTCCAGTTTTCCCGCTTCCGATCCATACTATATAGATGTGAGATTAGAATAGGTAGAAGGATGTCAGCAATGCACGGCATCCGCTACACATGCTCTATAGCTATTGATCAGACTTTGCTCAGACTTTCCCATAGAGGGCTCCTGCAGCACACCAGCCGATACAGGCCTGAGATGATATTATGGATTACGGGAAGGGAAGTGGAGAGAAGAGCCCTGGATGCGGGCGGTAGAAGCCTGATCGATGAGCTATTGCGCACTTAACAAGAGTAATGTTATGTAGGGTAGTCTCTGACATGCTAATCCATCTCTCACTCTCTCCGTCCGTCTCCCTTGATCGCATCTCTCTCAGTCGTGCTTATGTCCTGTCTTTCTATCTCTTTACCCATTTCTTTTTTGCTTGTTTTCTCTATCTATCTATCTATCTATCTATCTATCTATCTATCTATCTATCTATCTATCTATCTATCTATCTATCTATCTATCTGTCTGTCTGTCTGTCTGTCTGTCTGTCTGTCTGTCTGTCTGTCTGTCTGTC